CTTATGCCTACATTTCACACTTGCTGTATCACTGTTCTAATCTTAAAGTTACATCCAAAAGAAGGCAAAACCACCTACGAATTGGCATATCTGTTTATTTGTGAAAACGTCCTTAATTTGCTGACGTGGCAAACAAATGTCAACTCTACTAATGCAAAAACAATCTGCTTTGCAATTAACTTTATAGTTCAATTGCATACAGGCAACATGCTATATACGAAAAAAATTACTAACTGAACTACAAATATTAAATACTGAAAAATTAAACAGTTTATTATAATTTATTTTATTTAACAATCTAGGAAGTTCGCAGCCATCAGCAGTTCCAGCGCTATCTCAGGTGCGATGGGAAATTCAGGAATCTCAGTGGAGCTGTTAGTGTAGCGCACCTTGTAGGTAAAATACATGCAGACTTTTGAAAGCACATGTGAAGGGATTTCTCTGAAATTAACCTCATTGGTTTCATTCTCAGCAAACTGACCTGTAAAACAAAAGGATTATTTTATGTTACAGGTTGAATAGTACCCTCCCAGTTCCTGTGTTAGAGGTACCTAGTACCTCAGAATGTGACTGTACTTAAGTTAAAATGAGGTCTCTGGGTGGCGATCTGATATGATTGATCTCACAGGAAACAGATTAGGTACAGAAGGAAGACCACACGAAGACTAGAAGCAATCAACCCTGTCAACACCTCAACCTTTACATTCCAGAGTTGTGAGAAAAGTCCTGTTGTTCAAGCCATTCAGTCTGTGCTACTTTGTTACTGCAGCCCTAGCAAGCAAACAAATGTTAAGAGTAATTCTACACAGCAACTCACCAATTACCTAACTTCTGAGTATAAACAGAAAAGTCAAACAACTTGAGATACAGTAAGACTAAAATTTTAAAATTCTAATATTCTCCCCACTGGCAAGAGACTTAAAATACCTTCTCCTAAGTATCTTAGCATTACAGAAAGTAATACAGCTATCTAAAACAAGTGATACCATGTCAAAAGAATACAAGAACCAAAGTGATATGGCTCTGGCATAAGGCAAGCAATTTCATTATCACTAAGAACTGAACCAAGCACAGTGGAATGCACCTGCATGCTCAGCTCCTGAGGAGGCCAGGTGGGAGATTTTCTTAAGCTTAGGAGCATATGGCCAGCCTGGGATCACTGTGAACCCTAAGAATGACTGCAATGGACCAAAAAAACCCCATTAAATACTAAAGTCATGGTTCTGTAATATCCAAACTAAAACATGTGCTGGGGAGATGGCTCAGTGGAATAAGCGCTTCCCTGGCAAGCACAAGGGCCCGAGTTCAATCCCTGGTTCAAAAAAAAAAAAAAGAAATCAAACAAACTAAAACATGTCAACTGATGCAGGCATGGCAGTGAACACCTACAATGCCAGTACCCTGGGAGGCTAAA